TCAGACTACGTTAGCGAGTGTTACTCGCTAATTTCAATTTTAGCGATTTGGAAAATGGGGATTTGCTAGTTGTGGCAAAAACCAACCAGCTGACACAGTTTAAATGTCAGTCGTTGGATTAACAATTATTGTCCCTACCCCAAAAGACAGCACACGAGTCAGACGTGCGTGGGGGTAGGAGCAGACCACAGGAGGGTGGAGGGGGCAGGATCCAGTTGGAGGTGTGGACATGCGTCTGGCCTCAGCATCAGCCACGGGCGGACGTGACCGAGCCCTCTCACAGGGCTCCCTTGAGGACCCCATGCAGCGTCCCCAGGAGACGGCCTTCCAAAGGGAACGCAGCACACGGGCACTAGGTCGTGTCTGAAAACCCCACAGAGCGAGCGCAGTTCTGCTCTGAAACATGTGAGGTGGCCACGAGCCAGAATCGACAGGACGGCAAAGGGAATACAGCAAGCAAGAGGATTCGCCTACGCTAGTGGTTCTCCGCCCTGGCTGCACGGAAGAACCGCCCAGGGGCTTTTAGGAATGAAAATGCTGATGCCCAGGACAATTCTTCAGAAGACCTGCCTGCCCCCGGCCCGGGCAGCGGTGGGATATTTTCTCGGCCCCACACGCGGTCAGACACCTGCTCTACCTGGCACATGTTTCAGGTGTATCTCGGATAAAAACTCTCCTTGAGGGCCTTCCATGTTGGAATTCTATTGGACGGTCTAAGTGAGTACACATGTTCAGTATACTCACACCAAGACTATAATAAAGGTGCAATAATTGATGACTTGGAAAACCTAATTTTATCTACAAAAACAATTACTAAGAACTTACGAATAGTTGAACAGAAAAGTAAACTGAAAATTAAGAGTATGTTAGCTACATGATTTTAGAAAAATACTATATCCCTTTTTAAACCCACAAGTGTTTATAAAAATGTAAAAAATAATACAGATGTAATAATACAGATTAGAATATACTCTAACTTTTATAGTTGTTTGGTATAATACAATTCATTACATTAAAAACAAGCTTAAGAGCTGTATTTACTTGAAGTTATTTAATTCCTTTTGGACCATAAGAATTTGAAGAAAACATGTCCCATGTGGAAATCCTTCAAACCTGACAAGGATTAATTAAAGGCAAAACGTCCATTTTGCAACCTCAGAATTACACAGGGAAGACAGATCCCCAAACCAAAGTGCACCCTTTTTGTTCCAGACATAATCAAGAATACGAAGAGTACAAAGAAAAGATGTTAGGAGAAGCTGAGCTACCCCAGACACATTTGGTTCCCAATAATATAACTTCAAGGAGGTTTGTTTCTGCTATTGGCAAAGCAGGTCAATTCAAGCAAAACCTACCAAGGATGACGAGAAGACCTGGACCAAATATTCAACTATCTGTTTGAAGGCACCAGAGAGCTCCTACAGCAGTGAGACAACAGTGCCAGGACAGAGAGGAGGAACCCCTGGGAGCTGGGCCCACAGTTTGGGCAGACTTTTCCCTACAGGCCTGCGGTTGTGAGAAAAGGTGGCTGAGAGTCTTTGAACCGACTCTTAGGACCACAGCCACAAAAAGTGGAGGTCAGGACCCACTGGGGAAAGACCCTAATCCACCCAGCAGGCTTTGGGTGAGCACCCCAAAGGGCTACACCTGAAGAATAAGGGGAAGCAGAAATAAACACGACCTCAGAGGGCCAGAGACTCAGCTCCACGTCATCTGAAACCTGACTGGACCAAGGTGGACATGGGGTTTTAAAGCCCCTGCTCAAGGGGCAAGGAGCAAAACTAAGCCCCATTTAAAGGGATGTATTACCATCCTAGACCCTACATTATCCCATAACTTTTTATACATACAGTCTGGCACTCAATATAAAACAGCCAGGCATAGGAGCAGACAAAACAACTTGACTGGCTAGTAGCTGAGCCTAACCCTGGGCGGCTAGCGGATGGACGCCTAACCCTGGGCGGCTAGCGGATGGGCGCCTAACCCTGGGCGGCTAGTGGATGGGCGCCTAACCCTGTGTGGCACAAATGGTCAAGCGCTTGACTACTGGCAGAAAGGGTGACAGTTCATACCCAGCCAGAGGTGCCTTGGGAGGCAGGCCTGGCAATCTGCTTGTGAAAGGTCACTGTCTAGAAACCCTATGGAGCAGTTCTGCTCTGTACACATGAGGTCGCCAGGAGTCAGAATCAACTCAACAGCAAGTAACAACAACAAATTTCCAAAGTACTTGTACCAGTTTACGCTTCTACTGGCTGTGTAGCGAAAGTTCCTGTTGCTCCAGAGCTTCGCCAACACTTGCTACTGTCACTTATTTTACGTTAGCTGTGTGCTGGTAGCCTTGCTTCAGCTGCATTTCTCTGATTACTAATAAGAGTTTCCATGTAGGAAATGGCAGTAGGAGGGAAATAAAGTGTGTGATATTCAAGAAGGACAGCTATACAGCAGTGAAAATAAATTACGTTACATCCATCCATGTTACGACAATATGGAAGAATCCTAGAAACAAAAATTGAGGTACAAAAGCAAGCTGCAAAAGAATACCTGTTGCATGATCCATTAACGTGAAGTTAAAATACATGTAAAACGAAACAAATATGTTATTCTGGAATACAGAGGTGAGAAACTATAATGAAAATTTAAGATTAAGAAACAAAACTGTGGCTAGTGGTACATGTGAGAGGAGAGGGAAGGGCTAGGGCAGGGAGGCCCCCGTGGAGAACATCAGAGGTAACAGGAACATTCTTCTTCTGAACCGTGACGTACGTTCCAGCATAGTCTTTGTTGTATGGTCCTTTATACATCTTTTTGTAAATATTGTTTTATATCTACTCAGTATAAGAGTGAAGATTTCTAAATACTTGAAGAATAAGTAGAAGGTATTTCACTAAGATACTGAGAGTCACAGATAATTAGACAGCATATTCTCACTAAACTGCACAGAAGCACCTGGGACAAATGTAACTTCCCCACTCCTGCCGTGTGTCTGCCATGTGTCTGTGGTTACAGGACTCCGTAGTGCAGGCAGCCTTGGGTAAACCAGATGCCCGGCACATGGCCTCTGTGAGGGCCACTCTGTGTGCTTGCAGCCTGGGGGAACAGAACCATCCTGCAGACCATGAGAAGCCACAGCATCTCCAGGTCCCCTTCCCTCCATGAAAGAGGTGTGAAAAGACTTCTATTCTTACCCATGAACATTGGAAGAGGAAATTAACCCACGCTACTTAGATTTTTAAAGAAATCTACGTCTGCGCTTATTTCCAATATTCCAATGGGACACACGATTTCAGTTGAGCCCTGAAGTCTTAGACAGACACTATAAGAGGAGAATGGCTGCCCCGGGACGCAGAGCCTGTCCACTCATCTGCTGACCAGCCCCTGCTGTGTCACTCAGAACGACGAGCTGTCAACAGCAAGGAGCAGACATGCACACTGAGCGAAACACCCATCAGTCATGCCCTGGGGGATGCTGGGAGCAGCATCAGCACCACTGCTGCCTGGCTCTGCAGGGGAAGGAACACCTGGGGCACAGAGACTCCCCACACGGGCACCGTTCTTACTGTGTAAGGCCACAGCATGCTGCACAGGCAGCTCGGGTGGCTGGCAGGGGAGGGACAGCACCTCTGCCCCAATAGGTACATCCCTCTAAGTTTCCCAACAGGGGAAAACAAAAAATAGAGGAGTATTAAGTCCGGCCATTCCTTAGACGGTCCCAGGGAACACTGGTCTTCAGATACCAGCACAGTCACTATACAAAGTAAAAAAGAAGGTCAGAAGGGCAAGCGTGACACCCAGCTGTCAGTCACTTGTAGCTGTGCGTCCACCTCAGCTACTGGCTCGTCCTCACTCGCTAACACCAGGTGGAGAGGCGCCTGCAAAATGCTCTCAAAAGATAAGAACTTGAAACCTTAGGACAAAACTCACAGATCAGTACACATCTGGTCTGCTTTAGGGTTTTTAATATTTTTAAATCAAAATATTTTAATATTAATAATATTAAATATTAGTATTAAAATTCAAACATTAGGAACACTGCCAAATATTCGTTAAACTGCTGAAACCAAACCAAACATCGTGCTGACCTTCCCTTGCTCTGATGTTGATACTGAACCCTGTGACCACAGACAAAGCCGGGGCCGTCTTCCACCTCTGACTCTAACCAACGCTTAGGAGACGCTGCCACCTCGCTACCAGTGAGGGCTTCCGTCCCCACCGCTGCTTCTGGAGGCAACAGCCCGGTCTTCCAAGGAAAGCGCCCCCCAGTGCTCACCCGCCCATGACGCCCCAACTCATGCTCCTTGTCCTTCCCCAGCCCCAACCCGCCCCACCCATGGTGCCCCACATTCACTCTCCTTGTCTTTCCCCAACTCCACCTGCCCATGGT